CAAAATCTTCAAATGAATTATCAAATATCATTCTTTCTCAAAACATAATATTTAATTAATTTCTGTTTATTTTCTTATTTTCTTTTGTTTATTTTTTCTTTATTTTTTTATTTAATTGTTTTGAAATATACACTTAAAAAATTTCATAAATATTTTTCTTTTTATAAATAAATTGATTAATTTTTTTTAATTTGTTTAGAATGACAATCAATAATCTTGTAATTGACTATATAAATAAAGTGTATTTTAGGTTTCCATGATATTATATTTCATTATACATTCAGTCTTTCATTTGATTCTAATGAAAGTACAAATGAATTTGAGTTATTTAATCTTTCACCAATTTTATTAGTTTTCTCATTAACATATCTTCCACATTTGTTTTTCGTATATCTTTAATAACAATTATTAAATATTTTTTGTTTATTATTCTTTTGTTAAGTAATGATAAACCACGACTCCTATTATTATTAGAATTAAATATATTAAATTTTCTAGTTTTTTTTTATTGTTCATTCTTCTATTTTTTTAATGACTTGTATCTTACTATCTCTTCTTTCACTAAATTCTTTAGTACATAACTAAACAAATATTTATTCATTAGATGGTGGGTAGATGGCATTTATAAATGAGTAAAGCCAACTTGAGTATGAAAAGGTTTTATTGTTATTTAACAGTCTTTGTTCTAATTCAGTAACCATTCTTCTATATATAGAACTTTTATCAGATGGGATTGAAGATTGAATAGAGATTGACTGTGATAATAAAGAAGGGTAATAAGTTATTATTGTTTGAATAAGTTCTGAATATAAACTATCATAATGTTCTGCTGCGTTAGAGATTGACTGAATTATAATATTTTCTGAAAATGTTATACATTGAGAAGTATTAAATAAGGAAGAGTCATTAAATCGAATGAAAATGAATAGTACCTTTAATAATTTATTTAAAGAATATGTCTGAACAAAATGTTTGTTATATGTTAGTGTAATTAACTCAAAGAGAGAAAATATAAATAGAGTATCAAATTGAATAATTTTTTTAGAGATGAATTGTGTTGTTAAATTAATAAATCTATTGAGAGTGTTATTCATTTTCATTGAATCACTAATAATTTTAGGGAGATAATAATGAATAATTTTAAAACATTGAATAATTATTGTATCATGGTAGAATAATGAATAAGAAATATCATAATAATGAGACGATAATAATGTGTCATATATTTTTATTATTGATTTAACTTCATCCATAGATTTATTTTGGTCTGAAAGTAATGGATATATAAAATTGTTGATTACTTTTTGTGATATTTGAATTTGGTATTCACATTCAGATGGGATTTGAGTTAATTGAACTAACTGTTTTACAAAATGAAAGATTTCTTTTTTAATAAGATTGTTTGAAGATGAATACCATTTAAACAATAATGGAATAATATTTGCAATGATAAATGATTGAATTGTCATCATATTTTGTTGAGAAGAGGTTTTACAATCTTTTAATAATAATTTCCAACCAATACAATTAATAAATAACTCTTGTTCTGTTAAATTATTACAAATCATTAAATGAAGAAATTCAAATAATTGTTTTGATTCAATAAATTCTAAAGAAGAAGACATATCATTTTTATATGTAATCAATACTTTAGAAACTACTTTAAATATTAATGTAATTAATTCTTTCTTTTCTTCTAAACTTCCTTTGCATTTACAAGTAATAGTCATGTACTTTTCAAGAATTTTTTGTTGATAAAAATATTTTCTTATTTCTTCAAATGTTCCCGTTGTTTTTAATAATATTTCATACCACTCAAATACTTTAATTAAAACTTGTTTATTTCCACTCCATTTTCTAGTGATTAATTCAGTTATTTGTAATGACTGAGAACAAAAATCTGTCAATGAGTTTATTCCAAAATCAATAAGATGTAATCCCTATTTATTAATTTACATTAATTCCATTAAAATACATGTCAATTCACAACAAACTTTCTCATTACTTCTGTTTAACGCAATTCCCCTTAACTCTTTTAAAAATTCAATAATACAAATAGATCCATTATCACCAAAATTTGTTATATTTGTAAGGTTTAATATAGAAAGAATTGATTGAATAAGTTCAGATTCTTTTATATCAGTAATTTCCTCTTCTTTATTACTTATACCAGAATTTGCAATAATTTTATTTATTATTTGAAGTAAAATAAGAAAAGATGAGATATCATTTGATTTAATGCAATGATGGAGCTGTATTAGTAAATGTGGTTGAATATTATTTAAACAAAATTTACAAATGACACCAATTGAATCATAAAAGTCATTAATTGTTGTTGTATCATCAGTTTCAACATTATCTTTATTTAAATCTAATGTTATTAAACCATTAAGTAGAGATTGTATATGAGGAAATACTTTTATTATAACATCACATAATGGTTGTTTAAATGAATGGTCTAAAGGATAGGAACGTATTGATGTTATTTCAATTAATCTTTTCCAAGTAAGAAGTAAATAATAAATAATATCAAAGTTATTTAATTGAACATATTGAATAGTAAATATATATAACGATTTTAGATAATCTATTTGATTATCTAATAAGGTAAAACATGTTAAGAATTTATACAATGTTCTGACAATATATTTAATGTGTTGTATGTCTTTAAAACAATAATTGTTTAATAGTCGAGAACTTGCTTTAATAAAATTCTTAACAAAAACTTTTCTTTTTGAAATAGTCATCCTCTTGACTTCGCAAAAGTTTGAGATAAAATCAAAGATTGAAATATCTTCACTTTCGTAATAATATTCAAATGCATTGAGAATTATTTCTTCATTTATAAGATCCCAATATTTGTCATCACTCTCTGCCTCTTTGTTTATTTCAATCAATAACGAAAGTATATTAAATCTAATAATACCATTCCTTCCTTGACTCAAAAGAGTGGAATAATATGACGTCATCGGAAAGAGTAATTCAGTTTTAATTTGATAAACACTTTGAAAAGGAAGTGTTTTCTTAAGAAAAATATTTTGAATCTCATTCAAACATTTCCATACTTCTAAGTCTATTTCATTTCCAAAATAATGTCCTAATGAATTCATCCATACTTCTATACTCATGTGATATCTAACAAATTGTATAATAATGATAACACTCTCTAATTTATTTAATAAAGAGCAAACAATTTTATTATTACAACTCTTTCTCAGTTGAAGTATATGGAAAAATAATTGGTTGTCAAAAAGTTCAACAACCTCTTTATGTTCTATTAACTCTTTTATTAATTTATTAATTAATACAATACATCCAATAGTTGATCCATTTTTCTCAATGAACAATAACATCATGACAATGTCTTCTCTCGAATTGAAAATATTTAATGAAAAGGGAATTTCCCTTTCATTTCCTTTCAATCTACTTAATGATGAGTAAATAATATCCCACTTGTTATTTTGCATGAAAACAATAATTTAGTATCTTTCTCTTTTTCTTCAGTTCCTTCCATTAATAACAAAAAATAAAAAATTATGTTTTAGAAAAAAGAGAAAAACAGAAGAAACTATAATTAATAAAAAAAGAAGCTATTTTAAAGTTACAATAAAAAAAACAAAAAATAAAATAAAAATGAACTTAAAAGACTGAAAAACAAAATAACGATTAATGGAAGCTGAAGAACAAAACAATATTTATGCAAAATATGATAGTCATGTAAACGCAATTAGAGAATATCTTGGAGAGTTATGGAATGAGTTTAGTGGAATAAGAAATAAAAAGATGGAATTATCTCAAAAGTGTTTGTTTTTATTTTGCATGAAAGTGGGAATAACAAAACTTATTTTTTAGTAAGTGAACAAATAGATGAAATTGCTCAACTTCAAATGAGAGTAGAACAATTACTCAGTGAACAAAAAGAAAAACAAGACCAATGGAAAAGATTGGCAACTGAACTATATCTTTTAAAGAAACAAGTCCCAACCCAAATCAAAACAGAACAAGCTAATGATTAATTTCTTAGACTTTGATTGTTGTGTTACATTTAAATTGTTGCCTAAGTTCTTTTTATTTTAATTTTTATTCTTTTTTGTTAGATATTTAGAAATTTTTATAATAATTTGAGCTTCATTTTTTCATTATCAATTATTAGAATTATTCAAGTTTAATACAACAATAAAATTTTAAATAACTGATTACATTAAACAGGCGTCATCAATTGGGTTACCTTTTTTCTTTATTTTATACCATGCCAATCCTCTTTCAATTTTATCAATTAAATAAAATCTTCCTTGTTGTATTTAATTTAATTTGGTTAATTATTATTTAAAACTTAAAAGATTAATAACGGTAATGAATTAGAATATCTTTTGTTTAATTGTTACAAACCACAATTATATTTGGTGAATGTGC